TGTCCACCTCTTTCCTCACCTTCCATCCTTGCCTCTCCCATCCTCTCTCTCTCTCTCTCTCCCTCTCCCTCTCCCTCTCACTCTAAGATCAGAACGTCGATCAGAGGAGAGATCGCTTCATTTCAACTTCCTCAATCGGCACCATTTCCAATTTCTCTCCTTGTACCCATTTCTCGCCCCTCGCCTATTCCCCTTCCTCGCTTCCTTTACTTGGTAATGGGGGCCATGCGTCCCCCCCCCCCCCCCCACAGCATGATGTAGGAGCCCCCTCACTCCTCCTACTCCTCCAGTCTTCCTGTCACGCTTGTCATTCAATTAGCTATGCCTCTTCCGTACCTTCTTTACTGTTGTTGTTGTTGTTGTTAAAGATTCGCTACCTGGAACAAAGTTCAAAGTAGCACGGGCTATGGTGAGCCCGTAGTGCCTTATTCCTTCTTTACTCACTTTCCTCCATCTCTCGCTGTGTCCTCGGCTATCTATGCTTGGAAGATCGAGCTTTAGTACCTCGGCCCCGCCTTTTCCAGTCGCCGCTTGTCTATTCTAAACCCCTTCTGACCGATATTTCTATCGTGTCTATTCGTCTACCTGTCCTCAGGCTAGGTTAGTTCATGCGGCGGCTCGATCCAATGACGCATTCGTCAATTGGAGACTGGGCAGCTCCTCGGATTAAGGGGGAGACATAATTACGACGTACAAAATCCTCATTGAAACATATATAGCAGACAAGATCACTCTTGTCTCACCTATGTAGGTGAGTACACACCTCACAGCAACCCTTCACGATACATATTTCTACGAATCTGATACATATGGTCTGATACATATGGCTTCTTGACGTTATCTTGAGATGATTTCGTGTCCCCGCGGCCCGGTCCTCGAACAGGCCTCCTGTTTTGTTACACATCCCCAGGAAGCAGTCCGTAGCAGCTGTCTAACTCCCAGGTACCTATTTGCTGCTAGATGAACTGGTACATCAGGGGAAAAGAAACTCTGCCCATTTGTTTCCGCCTCCGCTGGGGATCGAACCGGGGAACCTCAGGACTACAAATCCGGAGCATTGTCCACTCAGCCGTCAGCCCTACCCAAATGCGAACAAGCTGTTGTTGTTGTTAAAGATTTAGCTACTCAGGATGAAGTGTCTATGTAGCACGGGCTATGGTGAGCCCGTAAGAACGGAATGGGGCCACATTTGTGTTGCTCACGTGACCCCAACAAGTGAGGTGATTCGATGACACATCTCTGCCCAAGTTGACCACCGAGCGCTGTCCGATCTTGGATAAATAGTCTCACGACTATCAAGATTTTTGTACAGTCAGTGTGGTCTAGTGGTTAAGGTACCCGATATGTCAAGGTGTATAATGCTCCTGGCTGTCTGGGTTCGAAACCTTCTGGAGTGTGGAGTTTTCAGTTGCATATTGGCTTGGGAACCATTCAAGCTTGTTCGCATTAACACACACACACACACCCATATGAAGACAAAAAAAATAGTAGTAGTAGTAGTTATAAACAGTTGATTGACAGTTGAGAGGCGGGCGGAAAGAGCAGAGCTCAACCCCCGCAAACACAACTAGGTGAATACACACACACACACACACACACACACACACACACACACACACACACACACACACACACACACACACACACACACACACACACACACACACACACAGGAAATAGGAGAAGGAAGGAGGAGGAGGAGGAAACAGCAGGCCAGACTCTGGATACAGAATGGGAGATGAAGTCCTTCACGAAACAGACAGAGAGAAAGATCTAGGAGTTGATATCACACCAAACCTGTCTCCTGAAGCTCACATAAAGAGAATAACGTCAGCGGCATATGCGAGGCTGGCTAACATCAGAACTGCTTTCAGAAACCTGTGTAAGGAATCCTTCAGAACCTTGTATACCACATATGTAAGAACAATCCTGGAGTATGCAGCCCGTACTTTGTCAAGCACAAGACTAAGCTGAAAAAAGTTCAGAGGTATGCCATTAGGCTAGTCTCAGAACTAAGAGGCATGAGTTACGAGGAAAGGCTGCGTGAACTGCACCTCACGTCGCTGGAAGACAGAAGAGCTCGGGGAGACATGTTCACCACATACAAAATTATCAAGGGAATTGACAGGGTAGACAAGGATGGATTATCTTACACGGGTGGTACACGAACAAGAGGACACAGGTGGAAGCTGAGTACCCAAACGAGCCACAGAGATATTAGAAAGAACTTCTTCAGTGTCAGAGTAGTTAGTAAATGGAATGCATTAGGCAGTGATGTGGTGGAGGCTGACTCCATACACAGTTTCAAATGTAGATATGATAGAGCCCAATAGGCTCAGGAATCTGTACACCAGTTGATTGACGGTTGAGAGGCGGGACCAAAGAGCCAGAGCTCAACCCCCGCAAGCACAATTAGGTGAGTACACACATGTATATGTCTCTTCTGCTTTAACAGAGTAAGAGACCTGCTATAGAAACCTAACCTAACCTAACCTAACCTAATCTAACCTGCTATAGAAACTAGTGTGTTATTGACGTCTTAGCTACAGAGGGTAACTAAGGTGCTTGTACAAGCTTCCATATTTACAGCGGGAGATGGGAGAGAGACAGCGTTAGAGAGAATAAAGGGAGGGAAGGGAGGGAGGGAGGGAGGGAGGGAAGGGAGGGAGAGAAGGGAGGTGGCACTAACACTAAGCGACAGCCTGAGTGCCTCCATGACAGGTGTGGAGGGAGAGGGGGGGGGAGGGGTGACCCTGTTACCTGTACATTATCATTAGTGTTCACCTGTGGCAGTTATGGTGTGACTCACTGGGTGCCGCTCCCACCTCTGTCATCACCCAGCAACACCGTCATCACCCAGCAACACCGTCATCACCCAGCAACACACATCACCCAGCAACACACATCACCCAGCAACACCGTCATCACCCAGCAACACCGTCATCACCCAGCAACACCGTCATCACCCAGCAACACCCATCACCCAGCAACACCGTCATCACCCAGCAACACACATCACCCAGCAACCCCCATCACCCAGCAACACCGTCATCACCCAGCAACACCGTCATCACCCAGCAACACCGTCATCACCCAGCAACACCGTCATCACCCAGCAACACCGTCATCACCCAGCAACACCGTCATCACCCAGCAACACACATCACCCAGCAACACCTTCATCACCCAGCAACACCGTCATCACCCAGCAACACCGTCATCACCAAGCAACACCGTCATCACCCAGCAACACACATCACCCAGCAACACACATCACCCAGCAACACACATCATCCAGCAACACCGTCATCACCCAGCAACACCGTCATCACCCAGCAACACCGTCATCACCCAGCAACACCGTCATCACCCAGCAACACCTTCATCACCCAGCAACACCGTCATCACCCAGCAACACCGTCATCACCCAGCAACACACATCACCCAGCAACACACATCACCCAGCAACACACATCATCCAGCAACACCGTCATCACCCAGCAACACCGTCATCACCCAGCAACACCTTCATCACCCAGCAACACCGTCATCACCCAGCAACACCCATCACCCAGCAACACCTTCATCACCCAGCAACACCCATCACCCAGCAACACCCATCACCCAGCAACACCGTCATCACCCAGCAACACCGTCATCACCCAGCAACACCTTCATCACCCAGCAACACCGTCATCACCCAGCAACACCGTCATCACCCAGCAACACCCATCACCCAGCAACACCAACACACACAGGGCCACACCGTAGGGCCAGGGCCCCGCACTGCCATGGAGACCCAACCAAAGAGTTCACATATTTATGATATCTTTAGTAATGACCTTTATATTATCCTTCTGGAGACGGGGGAGTTACCCAGCGTTGACCAGACCACACACTAGAAGGTGAAGAAGGGTCGACGACGACGTTTCGGTCCGTCCTGGACCATTCTCAAGTCGATTGAGAATGGTCCAGGACGGACCGAAACGTCGTCGTCCCTTCACCTTCTAGTGTGTGGTCTGGTCAGCATTCTTCAGCCACGTTATTGTGACTCATCGCCTGAGTTGCCCAACACCCAGAAGACACCCAATGTGGTGCTGTGTTGTAGAAGACAGACAGGAGGCCTGAAATTACAGACAGGCGTCACTGTTACAGACAGGCGTCACTGTTACAGACAGGCGTCACTGTTACAGACAGGCGTCACTGTTACAGACAGGCGTCACTGTTACAGACAGGCGTCACTGTTACAGACAGGCGTCACTGTTACAGACAGGCGTCACTGTTACAGACAGGCGTCACTGTTACAGACAGGCGTCACTGTTACAGACAGGCGTCACTGTTACAGACAGGCGTCACTGTTACAGACAGGCGTCACTGTTACAGACAGGCGTCACTGTTACAGACAGGCGTCACTGTTACAGACAGGCGTCACTGTTACAGACAGGCGTCACTGTTACAGACAGGCGTCACAGACACGCACACTCTGCAAGACACTAAAGAGAACAATAAAACAACTTGTGGAAATGTCGACAGAATTTTGTTTCCAAACAAGCTTTACTGAAGGAAATTGGTAGCTGATATGAATATTTATATGTATATGTATATTAGGTAGCTGATATGTATATTAGTATTAATGATAGAGTGACAGTATTGAGAGAGGACAGAGACTTCGAGGAGGGGAGCCGGTCGGCCGAGCGGACAGCACGCTGGACTTGTGATCCTGTGGTCCTGGGTTCGATCCCAGGCGCCGGCGAGAAACAATGGGCAGAGTGTCTTTCACCCTATGCCTCTGTTACCTAGCAGAAAAATAGGTACCAGGGTGTTAGTCAGCTGTCACGGGCTGCTTCCTGGGGGTGGAGGCCTGGTCGAGGACCGGGTCGCGGGGACACTAAAACCCCGAAATCATCTCAAGATAACCTCAAGATAACCTGAAGGCTTTATCACCTAACTTCACAAGCAGCCTGTCAACACAATGTTACTGGGGATGGAATGTACGAAATATGACCAAACTATTGGGGACACAAATCAACACGTCGATGTTTGCAGACGATGCAAACCTCCTCACGAGAAGAGTGGCGACAGATGACGATTGTAAAACACATCTAGAAGACGTGGACAATCTGCAGAGCTGGTCCGATAAATGGTTGCTGGATTTCAACACCAGCAAGTGTAAGGTTATGAAACTGGAATAGGTTGCAATAGACCAGGAAATTGGTATGTAATAAAGGGAAAATTACCACCCTGTAACTAGAGACAAAATCTGCAAATATATGTAACTCCAAGTCTAACTCCGCAGCCACACATAGACAGGTTCACGTCAGCATTCTCTCATACCACGTTGAGAACACCGCTTCTTGTAAGATCAGCGAAGTTAAGCAACGTTGGGTTTGGTTAGTGCTTGGATGGGTGACCGCCTGGGAACACCAAATGCTGTTGGCAATAATGTTTTGGAGGCCTGGTCGAGGACCGGGCCACGGGGACACTAAAGCCCCGAAATCATCTCAAGATAACCTCAAGATAACCCGCAAACATGGGAACAGCAATCAGGAACCTAAACATGGAGGCATTCAGGTCACTAGCATGTTATAACATCTTTATTGTTACATAACATCATCTTTATTACATCTACATTAACATCTTTATTGACAAAACGTAATTACAATTTTGCCTAATCTGGGGAATTCAATTAGGTCTTATTAGATTAAGGATAATGCTGGTATTCACTGTAACATAAGACAGAGGGTCATACACAAGACAATAGGTCTAAACTGTAGGCTGAAGCACATATATACCATGGTTACAATCAATCTTTCAATAGTCACTAGCTGAAGCCAGGAGGCATGACTGAGCGTGGAACATGGAACATGCTCCCCATTGAAAAATAGGGGAGCATTAAGTAAACTTAAGAGAGCATTCTTTCAACACTATGGGTCTCATGACTCTTCATTACCCTAACTTTAAATATGAAGAGAACTACTACTAACCAACCTTTCAGTGCTCAAAAGGACAGAACATAGGATAGAGGACAGAAGAAAATGCATATATGCTGGTTAGCCTTGTAAATGTGTGGCCACGTCTGTGGTAGAAAAAAAAAAGTGCTCAAAAGAGCGGGGACATTGATCCTCATATCCATATTAAGGTAACACCAAGGTTGTCATCTACCTTAAAAAGCACACAAGAAAACTTGAAAACGCACGAGAACTTTGTAGCGAGGCTGGCCACAAGCCCGGGGGATTCAGCATGGCAACCCGTTCTCGCAAATTTAATAAGTCAATATTGACTTATTAGTTCCGTGCATAGGTGACATACTAAACATAATAGTTTCCCTTGAAAAGCTTCATAGAAAACACCGACCTTACCTAACCTACTTAGTATGTTAAAATAAGCATCTTATAGCTTCGTAATTATAATTGTTACTTAACCTATTATAGGTATAGGTTAGGTAATAATTGTAATTACGAAACAATAAGATGCTTATCTTAACATACTAAGTAGGTTAGGTAAGGTCGGTGTTTTCTATGAAGCTTTTCAAGGGAAACTATTATGTTAAGTATGTCACCTATGCACGGAACTAATAAGTCAATATTGACTTATTACATTTGCGAGAACGGGTTGAGCATGGAGAAATACTAAACAGGTGAACGTCCCACAAAAGACACAGGAAAGAGGAGACACGAGACACAATAGGTAAAATAACATGTGGAAAAAGAGAAAATGTTCACAATGAAGTTCCAAAAGATGAGCTCCAGAGATAGCATTAGAAAATGGATAGCATTAGAAAATGGAAAGCATTAGAAAATGGAATGCTACAATCGAGCAGATTGTAGAAGATAATTGCATTCATAATGTCAGAAATAAAGTTTACACAATGATAAGCCGGGAGTCGCTGTATTAAATAACTTACACGCTGAATACTGGTGGCACAGTTAGGTGAGTATACACGCACACACACACACACACACACACACACACACACACACACACACACACACACACACACACACACACACACACACTAATAAGACGGAGTACTTGGACTGACACGCAGGGATCTCAAGGTGACAACGGCAAGTGGTCGACATACTCATACGACAACTCACACTCACTGGTCAAGTGCCTCTGGTCTTGTAAACTTTCCCCAGTGTGTACGGCCGCTGTTGAGTACACCGCCACCACCACCATCACAGCTACCACCACTACCACCACCATCACAGCTACCACCACTACCACAACCACCAACACTACCACCACCAACCACTACAACTACCACCATAACCATCACTACCACCGAGTAGAGTTGACAAAGGGTGAATTAGATTCGCGCTTTTCTTCGGACCTAAGAAACAAGACAGGTTCAGGAGGAAGGAAATAGAGACAAGTAAATACTCTGAACGAAGCAAAGTTGTACAAATCCACAAGGGCCGTGACGAGGATTCGAACCTGTGTCCGAGAGCATCCCAGACGCTACCTTAATCGACTGAGTTAAATTATGTTATTGAGACATGGAACAAAAAATATGACCGCGGTGAATGATGATTATAGAATGAAACAGCCTTAAGTAGCACGGATAGATGGCATTCCCCCCCCCCCCAAAATGTAGTTAATTTATGTTTTTTTAGTTTTATTTTGGCCCGAGAGGCGAGTTTATTGGGCAGCGCCACTCATCCTGTGAGTGGACACACCGCCATAGTGACAGTATTGGGCAGCGCCACTCATCCTGTGAGTGGACACACCTCCATAGTGACAGTATTGGGCAGCGCCACTCATCCTGTGAGTGGACACACCGCCATAGTGACAGTATTGGGCAGCGCCACTCATCCTGTGAGTGGATACACCGCCATAGCAGCATGTACAACACTCCCCAATAGGAAGAAAACCCGCTGGGTTGTTCATCCTGTCACTTGTACCCAGACACAGCTGGGACTTGCTTAACTGTCTCAGGTGAACAGCTTCTCAAACAAGAAGATTAATATTGTCAACGCTTAAAATCTTACTTTTTTGTGGGTGCAAAATGGGGGGATCTCTCGAGAACAGTATCTATATTTGACAAATAGTATTGTCCTAACTCAAACAATGTGGAGTTTAATATGCTACACATATTTCTAATGACTCTTAGATGTTCACTCACTCTCTCTCAGGTAGTGGTCAAGGCGGTGTCCGTCACTCTCAACTCTCAATACAGATTCTGCAACTCCTCTGTTCAAGTGCTGTTTCCATTCCGAATCTGGAATGGAAACAACAGTTGTTCAACTGTTGTTTCCCATCTCTTGAAGTTAGTCTCAGCACGCTAGTACCACCTGCCTTTCAACCCTCTCAGCCTGCTGTGTCGTAGTTGCTGTGTCACAGCCTCCTGTGCCGCACCCTACTGTGTCACAGCCTGCTGTGTCACAGCCTCCTGTGCCGCACCCTACTGTGTCACAGCCTGCTGTGTCACAGCCTCCTGTGCCGCACCCTACTGTGTCACAGCCTGCTGTGTCACAGCCTCCTGTGCCGCACCCTACTGTGTCACAGCCTGCTGTGTCACAGCCTCCTGTGCCGCACCCTACTGTGTCACAGCCTCCTGTGTCACAGCCTCCTGTGCCGCACCCTACTGTGTCACAGCCTCCTGTGCCGCACCCTACTGTGTCACAGCCTGCTGTGTCACAGCCTCCTGTGCCGCACCCTACTGTGTCACAGCCTGCTGTGTCACAGCCTCCTGTGCCGCACCCTACTGTGTCACAGCCTGCTGTGTCACAGCCTCCTGTGCCGCACCCTACTGTGTCACAGCCTGCTGTGTCACAGCCTCCTGTGCCGCACCCTACTGTGTCACAGCCTCCTGTGTCACAGCCTCCTGTGCCGCACCCTACTGTGTCACAGCCTCCTGTGCCGCACCCTACTGTGTCACAGCCTGCTGTGTCACAGCCTCCTGTGCCGCACCCTACTGTGTCACAGCCTGCTGTGTCACAGCCTCCTGTGCCGCACCCTACTGTGTCACAGCCTGCTGTGTCACAGCCTCCTGTGCCGCACCCTACTGTGTCACAGCCTCCTGTGCCGCACCCTACTGTGTCACAGCCTGCTGTGTCACAGCCTCCTGTGCCGCACCCTACTGTGTCACAGCCTCCTGTGTCACAGCCTCCTGTGCCGCACCCTACTGTGTCACAGCCTCCTGTGTCACAGCCTCCTGTGCCGCACCCTACTGTGTCACAGCCTCCTGTGCCGCACCCTACTGTGTCACAGCCTGCTGTGTCACAGCCTCCTGTGCCGCACCCTACTGTGTCACAGCCTGCTGTGTCACAGCCTCCTGTGCCGCACCCTACTGTGTCACAGCCTGCTGTGTCACAGCCTCCTGTGCCGCACCCTACTGTGTCACAGCCAAACCACCACAAAACAGATTGATTGAAAATAATAAAAGCCGCGCGGAGGGGGCCGGGATGAACAAGGGTGAAGAGAGCGGACTTTAGGTGACAAATTAGCGCGGGTTTAGGTGGCGTCCCTGACACCCTCTGGTCAGCCCCGTGCCTGGAACACACAGTATACCTCAGGAGACAGCACCAGACCCACCCACACCACCCGCCCCGAGAGCGCCACTGACATTGCCGGGGTGAAAGTATTAGCGCAACCTATACTCGCCCTCTTGTGCCGGGGTATAAGTGGGCCGCGGGTGTGTGGGAGCAACGCTTAGGCCACTGAGGGTGTAAAATCAACACATGGCACAGAGATACTACAAAAAATTAATGAGGAACTACCCACAAGCGGATAGGAGAGACAGGGGAAGTGCTAGGGGGCAGCGACAGGGTAGCCCCTACCCACTACCCTAGTAGTGGGTTTGACACTTCAGGTACGATTTTTATTTTTTTTAGGTGGGGAAAATTGTACCTGAGGTGTTAAAGAGTTCTTATGGGGAAAATTCATGATGAAAATCGTACCTGATGTCTTAAAAAGTCATGTTTTCGTGAAAGACTTATTATTATCAGAGACGTGAAATATAGTAAGATGCTGGTAACTTGTTAGTCTTAGTATCTCTGTATTAAGTTGATATCAAGTATTTACTCATTTTTATATGATGCGTAAGTTTATTAGCACAAAAAGTTGCACATGTACAGTTTGTTTAGTTACTTAAGTTTGATATATTACTTAAAGTTGCTTGCGACTACAAAATGACATGTCTTAGTAAGTTTTATTGCTACATAAAAAGTAATGATAAGTGTAAAATACGACAAAAGTTACACTTGACTGTTTATTTATTGAATGAAGAACAATGTTTGTTACAGTCAGAATATTATTTCATGTACAAAGGAGTTCTGGAGAGTAAATCGTTATATAAAGTCGCGTTAAAGACCGCAAAAAGTTAATTAAATTACATCGGAACGAATTATTGGTGTCTTGGAGAGATTCTTTAGTGCACGAAGATGTCTTAGAAAGTTTCCTTGATGCACGAAGGTGATTTAGAGATTAACTTTGATGTCTCTGAGAATAACTTTGATGGTTCTGAGTGTGACCTTAATGTCTCTGAGAATAACTTTGATGTCTCTGAGAATAACTTTGATGTCTCTGAGAATAACTTTGATGTCTGAGAATAACTTTGATGTCTCTGAGAATAACTTTGATGTCTGAGAATAACTTTGATGTCTCTGAGAATAACTTTGATGTCTGAGAATAACTTTTGATGATTTGAATAGTATTTTGGCATCTTTGAGATTATTTTTTGTCTCTGGGAATAACTTTTGATGGTGAGAATAGGATTCTTAATGTCTTTGAGTATGTCATTGAAGAATAAAGATGACATGAGAGTATCACTTGACGGGTAAAGATCTTTCAGAGAGCATCTTTAGTTAAGAAAGTGTTGACAGAAATTACACTTGACTATTTTTTCGAAGGAAAGAAGCAGAGAGTTAGTTAAGAAAGTGTTGAGAGAAGTTAAGCTTGACTATTTTCAGTTGATTGACGAATGATTTTAGTTAAGAAACGATAAGAAAAGAATGACTTAGTAAATTTGTTATTGTATAAAGAGTAGTTTTTGTTTTAAGAACGGTGTTGGTAAGAACTCTTTTAAGTTGATGAAAAGAATTTAATTGACATAATTTTTGAAAATAAAACTCGGTGACTGACTAAATAAATACTATGCAATAAATACATTGTAAATATCTAAATAAATTGTAACTAAATTTTTTGAGAAACTGTAATTCTGTTGATAATATTTTACGAAAAACTAGTTACTGAACGGAAGAAATAATTAATTTTAAAGAACATGTAAAAGAAGTCGATGAACACAGTGAACATGCAGGGGGGGGGAGGGGGAATATGAATTGAATTTGCAGAGAACGTGAAAACATGAAAAAAACATACAGATTATACGAGGAATGATCAACGAACTTGTGAAGAATATTCCGAGAACACTATTAGAACATGACAAAGAACACAGAGAACATGGAAGAGCACGGAGAAACAGGTGAAAAATATGAACTGAACTTGCAGAGAATATGCGGGGAATACGAAGAATGATCACAGAACTTATGAAGAACATGCCAAGAACATTTGAAGAACATGCAGAGCAAGGAAAAACAGATGAAAATATGGAATGGACATTTAATGAGGATATTTTAAGAACAGGGTGGGAATGCGTAGAGAACATGAAAGAGAACGCGAAGAACACAAAAAATACGTTAAGATTATGGGTAAAAGTTATATTTCATATTCTTGAGGGTTAAGAGTTGGGAATGAATCTGGGAAAGGGGAAGTTCAAGAATGGGTGAGATGCGGATAAGGGAGGGGGAAGAAAAGGGTACAGGGAGTTAGGGAAGATAAGGGAGGGTGAGGCAAGGGTGAGGGAGATAAGAGAGAGGACGGGGGGGAGCAAAGGTAATGTGGAGGGGGTGAGATAGATAAGGGAGGACTAAGGTGTGTAGGGGGGGGGGAGATAAGGGGTGAAGGGGGAGGTGGGGGTAACAGGGAGATAAGTGAGCAGGGGGGGCATGGAGGGTTAGGGGGGAGAGATAAGACGCGTTATGACCGTGTTATAATTTACCTGTTAAATTTACATATCTGAGTAGACAAGAGTATTGAAGGAGAGATTATGTTTACTTTGATAAGGTGATAGGCAGGAGTAGGTCTGAGGCTCTGGAATAACTAAGTTTGATGAACACTGAACTAAGGCGGAGGACGGAAGCTGGAGCTCGGTAATTGCTTTGATTGCATTTACTATGCGCGAAATACAGCGGTTTTAAATCTTGAGGAAACTGATCGGGTAATAGTGGAATCGTTCCAATGAACTAAGGCGGGGACAAGAGCCGGAGCTCAGTATTTGCTTTTGATTTATTTAACCGCGTCTTAAATAACTATGTTTTGAATCTCGAGGAAATTGATTGGTTAATAGTGGAGTTGTGGGAGTAAGCTAAGGTGGGGGACAGGAGCCTGAATTCGGTAGCTAAATTATTGTATTTTACTACGTACGAAAAATAGCAGCTTTAAATTTCAGGAAAATTCGACAGATTGTGTGGAATCTCCGGGAATAAACTAAGGCGGAGAACGGGAGCTAAAACTCTGCAACTCAATTTTCTTTTATTACTAGAAATGAAATATAGCAGTTTTAAAATTTCAGGGAAACTGATCGGTCAATAGCGAAACTACACTTATAAACGTATAGAGCCGGGTCCAAGAACTACCTTCTAATGAACTTTTTAAAAATATCTGCTCAAGTCCGTAGAGTTTAATTATATTCATAAGAACTTTTTTTTTTTTTTTTTTTTTTTTTTTTAAGACCGCAGCGAGGATTAAAACTCTGAAAATAAATAGACATCGGATACTGCAAATTACTTAAGAAACTGCTAAAGAACGTATTGTCTGAATATGGGAATTCTGTGAACTTTACTCTTGAACGGGTAAAGAGTGATTATTTTTACATAAGATTTTTCTTAACAAAACTGGACCTTGAAAAAAAAAATTAGTCTTAAACTGGTCTCTGAAATATTTCGGTCTTAAACTTTGGCTCGAATTTCCACCCATAAGAATTCCTTAAGTAACAAGTTCACCTTTTGTGGGGACCCCACACACACAATCTATTCGGACCAAGTACCTCTTGTCCGTGGTGCTGAGGCTGTGATGAAGACCCGGCGGCCCCTCCATGGTAGACCCCCACCTAGACCCCACCATAACCCCACCAGGACCTCCTCTCCAGGTCCCTCCCCCTAAGTCCTCCCAGGTTCCTCTGCCAGGTCTCACCACCAGGCGAGATAGAGAGAGAGAGAGAGAGAGAGAGAGAGAGAGAGAGAGAGAGAGAGAGAGAGAGAGAGAGAGAGAGAGAGAGAGAGAGAGAGAGAGAGAGAGAGAGAGAGAGAGAGAGAGAGAGACAGAGACAGACAGACAGAGAAAATACTCTGTAAAAAACATACAATAACGAATATGTATAAATCAGAGCGAATACCTAAACGCACAATACAAGTGACACAGTAGTCATCCATCAGTCTCAGGAGACTATAGAGTTGCGCTCTGGTTGTCGGTCTGGAGTGGCCTCTCCAGGGCGCAAAGCCAGGGTAGGATGATATGGAGGAGAAGCTGTTACCCATGCAGCAGGCCCCCCCCCCCTCCCTCTCATCGGCGCTGAAAGTCTCCAAGGGAAAGGCAAACGCCAATACGATTGGTTCCAGCGCCGTCGCAGGAACTGAGAGCTCCGGAGTTGACCTGGAAGTTGGTGAAAGAAGACACAGGGACACCAACCCCGGAGACCGCCGTGGTCGGGGCCGGAGAAGAACCACCCCAGCAAGGGCAGGAACGACCCCAGCCTCCTGAAGCAGAGCCTGGGGGGCCACACGAGCCCCAGGAGGTGGACGGCCCGGTCCCGCACCTACGGGTTTCTGACAGAGGTCGTCACAGCCCTCTTTCACCCGAGGCCCGCTTCCTACATGACCGAGCAGAAGGAAGAGTGAGAATTATTATTATAATAATAATAATGGTTTTATTGGATGGGTTTTAACCTGAAGTGACATGATATTTTTAGGTCAATAGCTACTTTTTCAGTAGCAGACAAAAACCAACTGTATACTGCCGTTATGTAGATGACATATTCGTAATAGTAAAAGACTCAGATGAACTAATTGACCTAAAAAGCCATCTAGAGAGAGAGTCAGTACTCCGATTTACACATGAAAATAGTGTAAATAATAGTCTGTCATTCCTTGATGTACTAATAACAAAAACAGGAACTTCTTTAAGCACCAGCGTATATACCAAGCCCACCAACATAGGATTATGCCTGAACGGTAGAAGTGAGTGCCCCCAAAGATACAAAGCCAGTGTTCTCAATGCTTATATTCGTCGAGCGCTTACCCACTGCCCTCAATTTAATAAGACCTATCAAAATCCTCAGATTAGGCAAAATTGTAATTAATTTTGTCAATAAT